GGCACTCCATCTTTTGGTATGTTATTCTTAAGACCCTAAAGCACCTTATAAGCGAAAAAAAATTTTTTCGATTTTTTCAAACTTTTACTGTGGTTTTCCCCCTTAATGGCAATACATTTAGCATGCATGATCAATAAATAAATATACACAATGTATCAGAATTTAATTTCGTCCTTTGTAAAGATGTTTTTGTAATTAATAATTATATATTTAATAATTATATGTAATAATTATATATTTAATTTATAGCTTTATAACATATTATTATAATTAAAAATAAAGGTTATTTTTAGACTTATTTATGATTTATGATTTTTAAATTAAAATATACTATACACACATATTTATTGTTTCATAGTGTGGCATTCGCAAAATTACAGGAAAATAGACTTGGTCTCTATCTCTTATTTATTTTTATCAATATTACATTTTTTGTTACATTGATTATTAACTTACATAAGATATTGGTAAAAATAGATAAGTGATAAAAAAACGTAAAAAACAATTGTGGTTATAATTTCAAAATTATGAAAAAAAGAGCATAAAGAACCACAGCACAAGTTATAGTTTGTGATATTTAATTATTCTTGCATTACAAATTGATTAATTACAATAAAAACATTAAACGTTTCGGCCATATCATAATCTGGTCATCTTCAGTAAATTAATAATATTCTTAAGACGCAGAGTTACATCAAGTTGGAATAAAATTCAACCGTCGTGTGTTATAATTGTAAAAAACGTGTTTACGTCTATGCGACGCTGCTTCGTATAATAATGTTAGAATGTCAGAAGTCATATCATGAAAAGTGTAGAACGAGAGTTTCCAGATTCTAATTTAAAATAATTTAGTCTATCATTAATATCATTTAAACGGAGTATAAAACAATAGAATCGTTACCTGTTTTACAGCAAAAATATATCGATGAATCTCAAGTATAACCATTGCACAGATAGAAATTTGTTATTATGTGTTGTTATTGGTCCTATCATATATTTTATCGCTATTTATATCCATGAGTCAAACAGTTTGGAAAGTTCTAAAATTATTTATTAAATGCGAGAGAGATCTTTCTTTAGTCAGAAATGAAATATTCCAAATTCTTAGTCAATTAACAATTGTGATACTGAATCGGTTGAAAATAAAATTATGAAGGTGTAAGAGAGGTTAAACGA